TGCCATTTTAAACAATTTTTGTTTCTCGCTTTCTATGCTTGGAAAAAATTCGGCAAAAGCATATTTGAGTACTACTATGTGCCTACTATATAATGAGCAAGTTGGAGGTCCGTAGGGTTTTTCCTCGCAAAAATCCAATTTTCATGTGACAAAACTTTTTTCGATTTTGGCTTTATTAAATGGAATGCGACTTAGGCGGATCCTCGGTGATATTCTTGTAGAGCTTGATCTGCTCTATCGAATGATAACCCAAGTCTACCAATAAAGCAAAAACAGCTTGAATTATTCAAAAAAGGATTTTACTTTTGGGACAACCTAATAATTATCGTTTTTGAACGGTCTTTTTCTCAAGAGCAGCCCTCCTGCAAGATAGAGTGAGTCACAGATAGTTACACTTTTTATGAGTCGGGGTTGTACTGTATTTTCTATAGAGGACAGTTGTCCAAACATCCTGATCAAGGCTCGGCACGAGGTGGCTAGTTGAAAATGCAAATAACGAAGTCCCCCTTGATTTTTGCGAATTTTTACGAAGTCGCCTTTGACCCTAGTCCAAATCCCTAAAAAAACCCCAAATTCGAAGCGTCAACTAAAAAACCTCGCAAATTTTGTGGCTTTTCGGCCATAAAAACGAAACCCCTTTGCTTTTTGTCCCAAAAACGATATCCAGCTTGCTTGTAAGCCACTTGTGCCGAGCCCTAATTTTGATATGATTGACATGATTTTCTGCGCAACCTAGGACGACTAACTTACAACATAATAAAACTTGGCATAATTCTAAAAAAAGAGCTACATTTCTTTCTTGGTGATTAGCTTCTAATGCAAGATCCAAAAAAATAGATGGCTCGTCTATAAAGCAAAACACTCACATAACACCACATCTGTGCTATGTGTATACAGCATTACTCTAACTACATTACATAAAAATTTTCGGTACATTTCCGTTATTCGGACCCATTTTTTCATAGAAGGGTATTGCTTCTTTTCTTGCATCAAATTTCGCAAAAACTTCACAGGATAAAGAGTCGACCTCCAGCTACGTGTCAAAAAAATTGACATGTTATCTACTTAATTAACAGGTTTTATCAAAAGTTTATTTATCCTACCTATCAATGTAACTCTAATGTTTTTTTTAATGTTTTTTCTTCTCTCCTCATCCTTCCCGCAAACGGTCGGCTAGCTTTAGCTCTGACCTATACCGTCCACCAAGGATAGGATCAAGAAGACAAGGTGGAGGAAACCGTGGCTGGTCCACTGCGTCTACTTGGTCGAGAATTCATGGAGCAAGATTGCGATGTCACAAGAATGCGCCGGTTGGTACAAGCAAGAAGATTCTTGTCATCGAAGACAATCGGAATCGAAGATGCACTCAAGCCAAGTAAGATATCATCGCGGTATTCATTGTATATAACCGCTGAGGATGAATAAATGTATGTATGTATGTATGTAATGTTTTTTTATTCAATGACGACCCCATTTTTTGTCAACAGTTTCATGAATTAGCTTTAACATTATGAACGTAACATTCTTTGTTTGATAAACACATTAAATTTTCTCAAAACAGAGAAGTGGGTTTGTTCTATCATCTAAACGACGAAACAATTGGCACCCAGGTATTAGGTTGTTGCAAAAATAATGTCCGTTTTGCAAATTTTCACTTTGGAAGGCTATAACTTCGTTCAGTCTTCATATTTTTGAATGCAGTCAAGACCATCAGAAACAGCAAACCTTTCGTAATTTGATTCGCGCCGGCTCATACTGATATCGTAGTTGGGGAGAAAACCACGCGCCAAAAAACTAAAAGTTTTTCTCTCGAAAACCCCTTCTTTAAGAGCTTACAACTCTCTTCAAGTTCTGTTCGTATGGCTGGCAATCAGCTTATTTTGTAGCAGCAAGCCAAGAGTTTACGAGGGTATAGAAAAGACTCCGACGAAAGAGTTCTGCGCAAAGAAAAGACAGAAATTCAAAAAAGTTCACTTTTTTAAGCCTACTTGTTGTAGGCTTGTAAGTGTCAAATCGTAAAAATTTGAAATTCTTAGCGCACTGAGTAGTTGAGTTCCTCTTCAAATATTGTAGTTATGGTGTGCTAATCTCAAACTTACAGAAATGGGCGAAGCTTTGGCGATTGCCCTGATGATGAGAAATTTCTGATTCATAAAATGCGAGCAGTGAGCATCTCTTTCGAGGCGTCCATTTCTCAGTCCAGATATCTCCAAAAATCCACGTAAGCACGCAATAGGTAAACAATCTTCATCCAATAGAAATACTATGTTTTCAGAAGAATTCGTTGATTTGCGCCTGAATTGTGGCCACGGAAACTCAAGCATCGAATTTTCGATTTTGAGTGCAGTTATGCTAGATGCTGGTGAAATTCTTACAGATGAGGATAGCAGCCTATTTCCACCATCGTTAGAAAGTACATGAAGAAAGCTTTCCAGTGATATGCAAATTCTGTATCGAAAAAGAAAGTTTGATGGAAAAAAGTTGTTTGAAATATAGGCCTAGAAAAACGGACATTATTTTTGCAACAACCTAATACTTCAAGCCATCATTTATATTCTTTGTTTTTATATGATGGTTGAAAGCTATACTAGTGCGGTTCATAATTATACGAACACCCCAAATTTTAGAAGTTTCTGGACTTTTTGGATGAAACTTAAAAAGCCGTTGGTACCACGCGAAAGAGCACAGCCGAAAACGGCACATGATCCATAAGAATGGAAATCGATGTCAATCTTAGGAATGTTTTTGCGCCTAATGCGAATTTTTAGCGGTTCATAATTATACGAACACCTCAAACAAGGGTCATTTTTCATTCGAGATTGTAATCTTTTGAGTCCAAATTTTTTATATAGTTACAGGAACAAAGTCTGAAGTATTTGCTACACACCGAACCCACTGCAGTCCAAAAAGAGGAGCGTTACTTTTTTCAGATGGCTCTAAATGCTTTTGGAGTGATTGCGCTCCAAAAAAATCCGTTCTTCTGTGGTTTACGCACTCTAATCAGCTTCTAGTAAGGCTATGAGATGAAGCTTCTACTAAGGCTATGAAATAAGCTCTTTCTATAGATATTTTGTTTGACGCTTGGAAAATCTTTGTGTTTTGTGCCGTTTTTAAGCCACGCTCCAACCTCACCCTAGAGTTAACACGATTTCGAGCCTCAAAACTCAGCTTCTCTCTCGCGTAAACATTTGATATGAAGCAGCTGCTTTGTTTGCATGATGATGTATCCGTGCCAAAGTTTTTGGCCCGTAGTAAAGTTCGGTCATGGGAGATTATCTCCCCTGAGACCTTCATGTGAGGTTTTGCCAGTAAAATGACGACCGCCCATATCCCCATGCTATAGGGATGCAAGGCTATTTCTACCTTTCACAGCGCCCCAAGCACGCATGGTTCGATGATATGAGTAAGCACATTCATGTGCTTACTCATATATCACCTACGCAGTTTTATACAATGACTACAAAACATTATAAAATATTGAGAAAAATTAGTGAAAGAAAAGGAAGACACAACAGATCATGGCGCCGAAGATAACAGGCGCCATGTGCGGCTGTTACACGCATGTGCCGGTCACTGCCGCAGAAAAATCAAATGTTTCGATAAAAATCAAATCTGTTTGACCATTGCAAAAACAGTCCCGCTACCCCGGCACTGAACCTCCGACCCTTCGCACAGTACGCCATCCTCTTCACCACTCCACCACAGCACTCAATGCCGTTCCGTTCATAACGGCTATTGGAGCGCATCGCAATGACTGCATCATAGGGTATGGATTTTCCGATCAATGGGTCGCCGGATGCTGGACTGAGGCGCCAAGATATCAACTCCGGTCCGCCTCAGGGGAGATGCCCTGACGGTACTTTACTACGGGCCTTTGGGTTTTTTGTAGAACTGATCTTGAGGCTATGGAGCTACAAACCAAATAAGATTGCAATAGTAAAAGCAATGGTTTTGGTGAAATGACGTCTGCGTGGCCAAAACAAACGCTCAACGCTACTGATTCTTTCTAGCCAAATACACAGTCGTGTGAACTTCAACATCAGCGGCGTACCGAGGGGGGGGGCGGGGGGGGGGGGCGCGCCCCCCCCCCCGAGAACGGGTCGCGAAATTTTTGAAAATTACTTACATGCGTTATAAAAATGTGCAAATGACTTGTTTATGTTTGCAAACAGTTAAAATAACTTTTAAAATTTTTTAAAAATTCAAATTAGCCTTATAAAAAAAATTTTTTTGGGGGCGTGGCTGGCGCTGATTGTTGAGAAGCCCCTTTAAAAATTTTTCGGGGTGCGTGGCTAACGCCTGGCGTTAGCCACGCACCTTCATTCGAAAATTTTTTTTGCCGCCCCCCCCCCCCGAGCCGAAATCCTGGGTACGCCACTGTTCAACATACCCTCGATATCATCCCATATGTCTTCCCTCAACATGACGTGGATTACGTGACTTGATGAGGCGCCGCCTCGCCTCGGGCTCGCGCCACGTTGCGAGCGCATCATTTGGCGCGCCGTGGCGCTCAACACAACGTGGCGCAGGCTTTTCCACGTTCTTCTTGTTGCCACATCACGCCGAAAATGCGCATGCAACGTGGCGCAAGCCCGAGGCGAGGCGGCGCCTCATCAAGCCACGTAATCCACGTCATGTTGAGGGAAGACATATGGGATGATATCGAGGGTATATGTGCTTACTTCATTTTAGGGCTTCAGAAGCCCAAACTCAACAACAGAGCCTTCATTCAAACCAAATTATGTGTGTTTTTTACTTTTTGTTGTACAAATGCTTCAAAATATGACTTTTTGTTCTTGCATTATTTTGATTGAATGGAAATTTCCCTACCAATTTTGACGTCAAAGAAAACTCCTTGCGAAGACACGGGGGACCTCGTTTCGACAAATGCTCCAAACCAATACGTGCTTGGCCCCGGCCCAAGCCTCATTTAATTAAAACAATGAAGTAGGTGCTTAGCGCGCTCGAATCACGCTAAGCTGCTCTGGTCGAATTCCTTTTTTTCCATGACGTAAGAAAAGCAGGTGACCAGCTAAACTTCATTCTCTAGTCTTTCTCACTGCCAGGCAATAGCTGCACTGAGGCTATGGTTGTGCAGCAGCTCAACAGTGCCGAAGAGTTCAACAAATTCCTGCTCGACTGGAAGTAAGTCACTATTTCGAAGTCTCAGATAGTTCTTCATGCTAAGCTTCTCGTTGTAGACTTGCTGTAGTGCATTTCTATGCATCATGGGCGCCACCATGCGAACAAGTTAATAAAGTTCTCAAAGACCTTCAGGTACGCTGGTCTTCAGTCTTTTTTCAAGTTTACACCTATTTTCTTTCAACATACAGGACGATTACAAATCGTACCCTGTTGGATTCGCTTTCATAGATGCTGAGGGTGTGCCCGATGTCTCTGCCAAACACTCCATTGCTGCTGCACCTACACTGATATATTTCAAGGTGTTTCCGTTCATAAATCATACATTGAGTACCACATTACGTCTCTCATTTGGCAGGCAGGTAAAGATGTGGATCGTGTCAATGGTTACAAACCTAGTGAAATTGAATCAAAGCTGACTCAGCATTCATTTGACATTGCAAGTAGTGGACAGGCAACAAATGAAGCGACTAAAACGGCTAAAAAAGAGGTAAGAGGTCCGCTATATATTGATGTTGCGAACACCGGCGCCCGAACATTCAAACCCTGGGCGCAATCTCAGTTTTTATTTATTAGAAGTCGGAGTAGCCATTTGTAATGAGCTGTATATTGCTAAGCGTAATTCAATCCCATTTGACAATCTCGTCTACAAAGCGTTTTGTTTTGAGAAGATCTGAAGTCACGAACTAGAAGCAAAACTAGCATATGAAAGAATCTTAACCTGAGTCCTCTGTGCGAGAGGCGAGCAATAGTGGGTCATCCCACCGTTTCTGCACAACCTATGATCGTAGCATCATATTCAGACTTTCAACTTCCTAATCTTGTTTGAGCGTCATGTAATTGACATGACTTGTAAGGCCCACGCAGCCGGTTTGGTGCTGCATAATTATTGCTGATTTTTGTCTGACTGGCCATTACCGGCAACCTTTCTAATCGTTTCAGGATTTGGAGACACGACTAAAAAAACTAATTGGGATGCATAGGCTCATGCTCTTCATGAAAGGCACTCCAGATGCGCCTCGATGTGGTAAGGTTCAGATGTGATTTTCGTTAACTTTTATCTCTTCTCATCACCACTTTCATAATTATTGTCGGGAGAATTGTCATCGAATTGAGAATTCGACACACTACAAAATTATTTGTTTTTGGGCTTCTACATTCTATCCTACATTGACTATCTTGAATCCAGGCTTTTCTAAGCAGATGGTTGGACTGCTTAACGATCTCAATGCTGACTTCGATACGTTTGATATCCTTTCTGATGAAGAAGTGAGAGAAGGTTTGAAGGTTAGCTCATCTTATCGAACCCATTTTTTCTTCTTTTTTAATGATTGAAATCCGTCGCACCCTTTCCCTATCTACCTCCGTTATTCCCGTAGTGGCTAGCATTGGCCATGGTAATTCAGTTTCTAGGAGAAGAGTTGTTGTATTCTGTTGTATCCTGATTGGCATATTTTCCCTAGCTTTCAGGTCTACTCTAACTGGCCAACATATCCACAGCTATACCTTGATAACGAACTCATTGGTGGACTAGATGTTTTCCGAGAAGAGATGAAGGACAATGATTTTGTTGCAAAACTTCCAAAAAAGCAGGTATGTTGTGCAAGTTTCGTTATAATTATTGTTTCTGTATCCCTGAATTTAAGGCCGATGATCTTAACTCACGTTTGAAGTCTCTGATCGATTCTCATAAATTGATGCTGTTCATGAAGGGTGACCGCGACCAACCACAATGCAGTAAGCTTTTGGTGTGAGCTGTCCTCATCAAGTAACCTATTACCATTTTAGAATTTTCGCGCGCAATGGTAGAGTTACTAAATGGAGTTAAAGCCGATTATGGGACTTTCGATATTCTCAAAGACGAGGAAGTGCGACAAGGTCTCAAGGTGTGTTATGACTTCTTTTTTCGCATTTGATTCAATTCATCGCTTCATGTTATTCGCAAGTTGCTTCACTACCGTACCGAATTTATGTCCAAAAACAGCGTCTAAAGATGTCTTTGAGAAGTGTTGCAATTTTTGCAGCATTGACCTTCGTTTTTGGTTCTTCTGTGCAACAAGTTAGATCTGAGGAGATAATTTGGATTTTGGTACCGATTACCTGTCTTACCCGTGTTACTGGTGTTACTCGTATTACCGGTGTTGCCAATGTTACCAGTGTTGCTTTTATTGCTGTTGAATAATGAAATGATTACCAATACAGTCTCATTCTCGGACGCAGTCACACTGATGGCTAGTGAGTGTACATACACACGGGTAACCTCAGTAATACTAATAACAATGGTAAGGCTAGTAACACTAGTAACACGGGTAACACTCCTAATGTATAGTCAACGCCTGAGATAAAATGAGCGCTCTTTATTTTATTTACTGAGCGTAACCGTATCCTTTACACCTTTTTCTCAGAAAACACCTCTCTTCATAAACATCTTGAATTCCTAACGTGTTTTATTCGTATATGTCCATTTAGACATACTCGAACTGGCCTACATATCCGCAGTTATATCTGAACGGAGAACTCCTGGGAGGCTTGGACGTTGTGAAGGCTGAAATGGCTGATGAGAACTTTGTATCATCGTTGCCAAAGAAATCTTGATATCTGCGTTTTTTTTTATTGAGTTGAGGTTTGCTGTTGAGCTTTGCAAACCTTGCATCACTAGGACTGCAGCGGTTATCTAGTTTATTCCATTCGCTAGAAGTAGCCTTGTTGTTGATATTGATTTAGATTTTTACATCTTGTTGTGGCGAGTTCTTTCACCGGTGTTCAACTTGCTAATCAATTGTGATTCTTCTAAGTATGCTCTAAGATTTATTTGCAGTCGTAATAAATACGCATCACTAGTCACCTAGTACATATGAGGTCATAAATGTACATGGATTCAAATGGTAAGTGAAGTCAAGTGTTTGGAAAACAGTGACACTTTACATGTAATTGTGTGGGCAGAGGAATACTGTAAATCGACCATTCATTGCATTCGCGAGTTGACGAGTCCACAACCGCCAAATCTTGCCATGATCTGCCTTGATAAACCTAGGAATAGTGCATTGAATTGACGGGTCGTAAAGAATAGTACCGAGGTTTTCGAAATCACCTTGACTGGATAGTGAATTATAGCAAGAAGACAGTGGCAACGAGCACAATCTGTCCCATTCGGGATCAGGCCGCTCGCATTGTTAGCGCTTGCGCTGCATGTACTGTCGCATAGAGCGAAGAGATTGGAGAGAGAGCAGACAACCCTTGAATGAGACAGAGCATGTGTGCAACTGCACATTTAGTGGAATAGGATGTTGGATGTTAAATATCACTCTTCTGGTTTTCTTAGTTTGAAGCACTTGCGCTTCTTAGGGTTCCTTCTACATCTATAACCGGCGAAGCTGTGCTGCCGTGAGTGTGTATTTCCACTGCGACTTCAGCGGCGCACGCCGCGTCCTGCGACGTAGTATGAAGGAACCCATACTGAAGAGATCTGCATCTATCGCCAACATTTCTAATTATGCATTTGCACACATCATCAAGGAATTCTATAGAATCATATTATTTCCGAAGAGGAAAAAAAGGCCCGTATACACGTACATCACCGTGGGAAGGGATCGGACCTGAGAGGGACGCCTCGTATCTCGCTACTCTAGACTGGAAGCTTACATACCCTAATATCTGAGTTTGGATAACGAACATTGCCATACAAACCTGAGTTTTTCAGGCTTTCGTGTGATCCGAATCGAATGATTATTCTAATAAGTCATTTCAATGCGGATGGTTCGAAAATTTGGATATTTTAAAACCTGAGATGTCGAGTAATATTCGATAGTCGAATGATCGAAAGTTTTCATTCTCGAGTATCGTTCGAAAGTTGATTCGAATATTTCAGCTCTCGAATATTATTCGATATTCGAATATTCATTGGCCATCAATTCGATCATTCGATTTTTTACCGAGTATTCGGATATTCGATAAGCACCGAATATTTAAAAATTCTAGCATGACTAGTCGGAAATGAAGTCGATGATCGAATCTTCGGAGATATCCCTAGCATACACGGGGTGTCCCTAAAGCATCAACTTTGAGTAACATTCTTCAGCTTACATTTACAGCAGAAAGCGATTTACTCAAACTTTTCAGTATAGTGGATTACAGTAGGAACTTCCAGCGTGCAGAGCAGCTGGGCTATAAGACATCTGAAAGAAGTCGAAAAAACCTAAAAATTCGTGTTGCGAAGTTCGCAACACAAAGTTAAGCTGATTTCAATACATTCGCAACTTTTTATGAGTTTTTCTAGCTCCTCAAATGTGTAGTCACGTTTTCTGGAAGCACTGGAAACAGTCGTCACGTCTATCTGCCATAATTTGTGAAAAAAGCATCAGGTTGAGCGCAAATTTTATGTCTAAAGTGAGTGACTTCAAATGTTTAATGCAAGGTCTCTTTGGTAATCTTGTTAAGCAAAATACGACTACGAATGTTTCAGAATTCGCGATTTTCCAATCTTATGACAGTGAAGAAAGACCGATTTGAGCTGAAGTCAGCTCTACAGAATGGTGCCTGAAGTCTGGCAACACTTTGTGAGCAGAGTGAGAGTGTCCACATGCTTTTGGGACACCCAGTAACCTAGGATTCAACTGGCCTGGCGGCTGGAAGGAGGGTCTTTGTGACCTAGTTGAGGCGGCTCGAGCCCGCAACGCAGTCTGCACCTCTCCTGGGCGCGCGCTCTGTGATCACTAACTAGCCTTAATTAGGTCACGAAGCCCCGCCTTCCAGCCGCCAAGCCAGTTGAATCAAAGGGTACCTCAGTAGGAGGAAGAGAGGGAGGGGTGTATAAGTTTGGATTGTCCCCGTGCGGTAACCTGAACATGCAAGGTGAGTCGCCTTTGTATGTCGCAATAGTTGCTCAATATCGCTGCTCAGGGACACCACTATTTAATGATGATTTTTTTGAATTTTTAGCAATTTAGTTTCTTCACATCCGCCATAGGAGCAGGCTCTTAAGTTCTCGAATCGCTTGGTGTCACCAATAAGCTGTTTCCTCATCATTAATTGTGGGGGTGGTGCAGGAGGAACCAAAGGGCTGCCGCCTGTATCCGCAGGAGATAATCGAGAGCGCGAGCGCTATAGAGAATATTTTGGCAAGGATCCAAGAAAATTTGGCAATTACAATCCTTAGGAACAAATCTTCATAATTTTGCCTGGAGATAGTTTGAAAATTTTGAAAAACAGATTTTCAATTCAAATTGGAAGGCGCATTCAGTGGGCCTAAAAGTAAGTGAAAATTCGGAACTGTAGTGGTAACAAAAGTCAACTTCCTTGTAGAAACTTTATGTTTTATGAATTTTGAAGTCTCAAATTCTTGAAGTCCGGGGTTTTCATCCAAGATTCATTCTTTTTTTTTCTTGGAGATAAGGGGATAGCATGTACGACTCTCGATAAATCTCGGCATAGTTGATAAATTTAGATCGATGTCTTGTAGCCAACGCCGGGATTGTTACAAACTTTATTGGCTAACGTTTCGGCTTCTCGCCTTCGTCAGAGCCTGAATGGGGTATCGATTCGTAACCCAGACGGGCAAATGTCTTTACGGCTCTACGAAAAAGGTCTAAGCCTTAATTTTGGCCAGCAGTTTTGCAACAGCCACTTACCACTCAAATGGGGATAGTTTGCTCATTAAGTCAATGAACCAAAGCAATCAAAATGTCATAAAAAACATCTGGAGGTTTGTGTCAAGATGCACTATGCAGTTTGTCTCATTACTTCAAAACTATTTTGATTCTAAATTTTAGTAGAGATTTCCACAGGATTTGCCATTGAAACTAGGTCAGTAATTCTTTCGAAGTCGAACACAATAGCAAATTTCATCACATGCAACTTAGATAACCTTATTTCGTGATTACGCTCCCTACTTTCAACTTCAAATTCAGAAATTGCACTTGAAAAGTCAATCAAATCTTTCACATAACATTGGACTTGAAATTTCTCAGCTTTTAATGGTGAATTCTGGAGACTCAGTTTTTAAAAAATGGTAATGTTTTAATGGTAAAAATAAAACTCGAGTAGCGAGACAGAGTTGTTTATCAATCCGGCAGGAGTATTACTGAAAAATGCGCATTTCAATACTGATTCCAAATCTGTTCTTCGTATTTCTGAAAGTTAATTCCAAGAAGAGTTATATGGGTTTGTTTCCATAGATGTCCTCGCCAAGTTTTCCTGGATCCTCGCCAAAATCTTACCCTCAATGCTCGCGCTCCTAATTGTCTCCTACGGCTACAGGCGGCATGCCTTTGGTTCCTCCTGCACCGCATCCATTAATTGTAACATAAAAAGTGTCTGTTCTTAGTATCCCGAAACAACTATAGATGTTTTGGTCTCTTATAAGGTAGTCATCTCACTGACATTCAACTTATTCGAATAAGATTCGAAAATCGAATATATTTCGAAGTCGACCATATTCGACATTCGTTTTCTGAAATTGTTCGACAGTATTCGAATTTCTCGATTTTCGAATAATTTTCGATAGTCGTATATTCCAAATTTTTGATTTTCGAATATTATTCCATATTTGGGTATTCGAAAAAATTTCGAATTTCCCTTAGTGTAATCCCAGGAAATCGCCCCACATTTTCAAATATTTACCTTCCTATAAACTCGATAAAAATGCTGTAAAATTGTGCTGAAGATATGCTATGGCACTGTTAAACATGTTTGTAGTAAAAATTGAATTTAAATTAGTGAGATCCCAGGATATCGAGATCTTTGATAAACCGCTGTTTGCGAGCTGAGCTTTATCGGAAATTAAAAACCAGCATAATCCACTTGTTCTGATGAACACACCCCCAGCAGTGCATAGTAGATCCTCAGTACAAGTTTACGACGTTGTCATCGACAGCCTGAAAAGATAGACGATTTTGAAAACAAGGTGTGATCTCCTGGAAATCACCACGGGGATCACATAAAACATTGGAAATCTCAGCTTGTATGGTGGTTTTTGCCATTCATTGTACTCAAGCATCAGGGTATAAGAAACTTTGTAACATAGACAGAAAAAGAAATGCTGGCACCTAGGGCAGCGAAATATAACGCGTCCCTTCTTAGATCTCTTCCCCTTCCAAGCGGAGATTATGATCGGCTCACAGATTCGTATAGGGTACTAGCTGGTGGCCCCGGTCTCACCCGAGACTTCAAGTTAGTTAAACCAACAGAACTTGTAAACTTATGCCTCTAGATTTCTTCTAACATGCGCATAAAGCGCTTTCAGACTAATTGCCGCACTTGCCAACTTTAAGACTGAAATGGACTTTACCGCCCCTGCTTACATACTTATATGTAAAAATGATCGGTTGCCATGATGGCCCTTCATTTTCTTAGGTTTGAGTAAACAAATCAATAAATCGATAGAATGGCCCGGCGAATCGCCGCGGAAAGTAGCTCTAAACCACCGCCGGGGTCGAAAATATACGTGTGCGAAGTTTCAGCCGGATCGGTTCAGTGGCGCGTTTCTATAACGAACGAACAACTAAACGAACATCCTCACAGACATTGAGTTTTATATATATATATATATATATATATAGATAGATAGGAACTAGGTTGGACTCGTATAGGGACTTTCCTTGATTGTAGGGATAAACCTGATAAACCTTCACTTCAAAGCATTATTTTTCGTACATCAAAAACCGCCACGACTCCTTTACACGAATGGAGCCGATGATACGTGCATACGGGCCTAAAAAGGGAGAGGAGAGGAGTGTACTTGAAGTTTTCACCATTGCTCTTTTACTTTTTGAGCAAATCGCAGTGCTTCAAAGGCCCTGTCTCACCATTGCGGTAGCGCGGGTTTCCACATATTTCGTTAGATTCACCTAAATACACAGGTCCCACCCGATTTCCTCCCTATGGCAGTATTGGGGAGTGGGGGGGGGGGCAACATGAACGATAGTTTGTGTCAGCCATTGCATTGTGTAGGAAGGAAGTATTTTCAAATTCTATAATCAAGTTATAATGATTTTTAAGAAGTTGGAAAAAACGCTGACAGTTCTGCATGTCCT